TTCGAAAAAAATCAATGGAAATTGTATTTGTGCGTGAAATGGCATTCGTTCTTTTCACTGATCTTTTTGCGATGACCTGCAGATTGACTTTACGCTGACTTGTTGCCGATCAGCTTCGGATTTGTAATAAAGAAGAAATTGGCGAAGATCCATCCCGAGCGTAGAAGATCATTTGTCGCCGTCAAGTCAGTTCTTCCGAAAGATTTGGAACGAATTTACAGGCAGATATATTGGCTTAGGATTTGAATCCTTCGTTTCTGTTTTCTTGGATGATCACAGGCCCAATGTCCCTCGTAACATGTTTGGCCCAGGATCTGTGTTTAAGCAAAATATCTTCAAATTAAAGATACTTCGGCCAGTAAATCTATTGTCTCGACGTTTCGACAAAAAAAAAAGATTTTTAACGCTTTGCCAAATGTTTTAATTTTGTTCGCTCCTGACGAGGACAAAATATTGTCGAAACGTCGAGATAATAGAAAAGATTTACTGGCCTGAAGTATCTTTAGTTTGAAGAAATATGAATTTCGGCCAGGCAGCCTCTATATTTACTATAAGTAATGTATCATATAGCAAATGGAAACATTTAGACTCGAATCTTTCTGTTAGGTTTTTTTAATTATTATTATATTGTATTATATTAATTAATTATAATCCATATTCATAGAATTTTATTGTTACTTATCATCATTCTTTTTGTTGTTGTTTTTTTCTTCTTTTTCCTTTGTGTTAATATAGTCTCTTTTTTATGTTAATAATACAACTAAATCGCATTAAATCTTAGTGTAATTCTTTTTTGTTGTTTGAAATAAATTGAATTGAATCGAAGTGATTCAGTTCGTTCTTTCTAGAAGAAAGTTCAAAGAAAACGTGTTAACAGTTTCTTTTATACATATATCAAACATCTACTGTCCTTACTACGATGAAAAAATATATTGGGAGGTTTTGAATCATCAGTGGTAAACCCTCCCAGCGGTTTCTTCAATTTTTAATCTACCAGACCGCTTCTTTAGAGTTCTAATACTGTATTGGATCATTCTGCTTTTATATGCTACATTGAAGGGTGGAATCTCAGAAATGGTATTTAAGCAAACTATGGACATAAGCTTTTAGGGGACAGTAGAATTACATATAATATTTGCATTGAGCAATGCTCTTCCGCAAACAATAATCATATAGGCAGAACCCTCATTCTGTGTGTATTCATGGACAAAACTTAAGAAAGTGGAAAGTCACCAGTCGTCTTTTTTTTTTTTAAGGAGACAGAGGCAATTTTGTTCACACTTGATTATATCGTGTGCCTTCAATAAAGGTTACTGTAATATCTTTCATAATTATTATCTGAATCCCGATATACATGCTAAAAGGTACAACTCCCTTAAGCAGAATTCAATTGTAGATACATGCAATCTATCCATGCAGTCAAAATCGCACAACACTGGCTATAATTCGACATAAGCCTATGTTGACAGAGAGAAGGCTCCATCTTTGAAAATGTTTCCGAAATATTTTTTTTTTTCAAAAGAGGGAACAATGAGCTTAAAGGAGCTATCGTGAACAAAAGGTCGGATAGTAACCGCTATTAATTATTGGATGAAATATGACGTTAGAATTACATGGTGGTGCTCAATTATTGCCCAGGGTTTGTTTGCTGGTCCTTTTTTTTTATTGAATCTCCTTTTATTACAGCTCGTCTTGGCACCAAGCTTGTTTTTGTTTATTCATCGTTTTTGGCATTCCACTCTTGTGCTGTTTCTTTCTACGACTCCATCTTTCTCTCCCATCTACATATATGTTTAAATCATTCTTTTTAACCAAAGAAATAGTATTCTTTTAAACGATATTTTGTTATGATTTTATATGGTTGTTTCAAAGGTTCGTGTTTTTCTTATTACTTTGTGAATAATATTATTACGGTGAATACATAATAATACAATTACTTTATACAAAATCAATTACTTTGAGAGAAAATACTTCCATGTAACTTGGAACCATGTTCTTTATATACTTTATGAAGAGCCGTTCTGTGTAGCTATCTGCCCTCATATTAAGAGGCATGAGTTAACGAACAGAGGAAAGACTAACACAGAACTTGGCTATTTCAGTACAGCTAACTAACTTCATCCAATATGAAGAGACATCAAAAGGAGATATATCCTTAAGCTTTAAAGAAATATGAAGAGACATGAGATAACGTACGGAGGAAAAACTATTACAGAACTTGGCTATATCAGTACAGCTAACTAACTTCATCCAATATGAAGAGACATCAAAAGGAGATATATCCTTAAGCTTTAAAGAAATATGAAGAGACATGAGATAACGTACGGAGGAAAAACTATTACAGAACTTGGCTATATAGGTACAGCTAACTAACTTCATCCAATATGAAGAGATATCAAAAGGAGATATATCCTTATGCTTTAAAGAAATATGAAGAGACATGAGATAACGAACAGAGGAAAGACTAACACAGAACTTGGCTATTTCAGTACAGCTAACTAACTTCATCCAATATGAAGAGATATCAAAAGGAGATATATCCTTAAGCTTTAAAGAAATATGAAGAGACATGAGATAACGTACGGAGGAAAAACTATTACAGAACTTGGCTATTTCAGTACAGCTAACTAACTTCATCCAATATGAAGAGACATCAAAAGGAGATATATCCTTAAGCTTTAAAGAAATATGAAGAGACATGAGATAACGAACAGAGGAAAGACTAACACAGAACTTGGCTATTTCAGTACAGCTAACTAACTTCATCCAATATGAAGAGATATCAAAAGGAGATATATCCTTAAGCTTTAAAGAAATATGAAGAGACATGAGATAACGAACAGAGGAAAAACTAACACAGAGCTTGGCAATGTCAGTGCACAGATAACTGAATTCATCCAATTTGAAGAGACATGAGATAACATAGTGAAGAAAGACAAACACAGAGCTTGGCAATGTCAGTGCACAGATAACTGAATTCATCCAATTTGAAGAGGCAGGAGATAACATACTGAAGAAAGAGTAGCAAAGATCTTAGAAATGTCAGTGCGCAGCTGACTCCATCAAAGATGAAGAGGCGTGAGATAACCTTCGAAGATAAAACAGAGATTAGCTATGTCAGTGCACAGCTAACTGTCTTCATCCAATTTGAAGAGACATGAGATAACATACAGAGTAAAGAGTAGCAAAGAGCTTAGCAATGTCAGTACTGCCACAGGTATACAGACTTCGATCTAGGTAGCTCACTATCCAGTAGTGTCAGTACAGCCAACTGATTTAATAAAATATCAAGAGGCATGAAGTAACGTACAGAGAAAATAGACAGATCTCGTACTGATCGATCTCGATAACGTACAGAAGAAAGACTAATAGAGAGCTTTACAATGTCAGTGCACACACACAGCTAACTGCCTTCATCAAATATGAAGAGGCATAAGATAACGTACAGAAGAAAAACTAACACAGAGCTTAGCAATGTCAGTACAGACACAGGCGTATAGACTTCGGTCTAGGTAGCTCACTATTCAATGGTATCAGTACAGCTAACTGACTTCATCAAATATGAAGAGGCATGAGATAACTTAAAGGGGAAAGAGACAGATCTTGACAATGCCAGTGAACAAACACAGCCAAATGACTTCATAAAGTATGAAGAGGCATGAGATAACGTACAGAATAAAGGCTAACATAGAGCTTAGCAATGTCAGTACAGTCACAGGCATGCAAACTTCTGTCTAAGTAGCCCATTATCCAATGATATCAATACAGCTAACTGACTTCATCAAATACGAAGAAGCATGAGATAACGTAAGGAAGAAAAAGACAGAACTTTTTTCCTTATCCCTAGTACACGTGGTACAGGCCATGATTATCAGGGTGGGTAGAAGTAGGCGACTTCTTTTACTGTAAGTACACCACATGTCTACACATGTGAAAAGCAGTTCGATTTTGCACTTACAAATGTACCAGAGCTCCGTTTGATTACTTGCACTTGCTGGGGTTGGACTTTTACAAGAATCGGGGATCATTGGAGCATTTTTTTTTTTTTTAAATAGAAAAAATGCCCAATGCAGGAATCGAACTTGAGTCGTAGCGGTCAAAAACCAACGGTTTAGAACATCCTTCCACCGACCCCCAAGAGACAGATATTGACAAAGCTAGTACAGCTAAGTAGCCGCTAACAGCTAGCTAGTACGTAGAAGTATCTAACGATCTATCCAGTAAGAACCATCATATCCGACAAGGAAGAAAGAACGCAAGCGCTCCAATTTAAAATTCCGAACCTGAAAATGGCCATCTAAAAAAATCGTTGGATTGGAACCGTTAACACGCATGCGCCTTGCCATTAACCTACTAATTCATATTTTCCCAATATGTCTAGAATTATTGATGACATAATTTAACGGTTTTTCTTTGTTTGCTTATTTATTTAGGTAGGTATCTCGGCGGTTGAATCCAATATTTAATTGAAGGAGCCATTGATTTGTCGATGATTTCTTTTGGCCAAGGTGCTAACGTGTGTTTTGATCCAACTTTGATGATGTCCATATGGCCTCACGTGAGGCCATTTCGTCTTATATCGGTTGACTGAAATTTTGATGACTTACCGATTTAATTCTTCAAATTTATTTACCAGTTGAAAACAAGACACGCTTATCCGATCTGGATAATTGCGCGTGAAACTATTTACAATAATTCATATTGTAGTAGAGTATATAACAGAATTATCAAAAAGAAAATAAATAATTAAGAAAAAGAGTATTAAATAAACATATACATTAAACAAATAAGCAACAACATAAGCAGATAGAAAAATCGCAAGGTAGTTATTTATAATATGTTAATCAATGATGGAAGTTGGTGAAGTTATCTGTAATAATTAGAATCGTGGAGAGATAAAGTTGATCAAGTTGAGTTATTTTCAATGAGATATATTCTAAAGTAACTTATTAATTATTTGACTGTTCTTTAAATGGTATGATTGAATCAATTATAGGCCTACATACATAGCCTACGGTAACACTGGTTCTCCTCCGATCACCGAAGTTAAGCAATGTCGGACCAGGTCAGTACTTGGGAGGGTGCCACCTTGGCTTCATAGTATTACCTTTTGGGGCTCAAAAATCCTCCATTCTGGTTATCAGCCCCGTAAATAAAGATATTTCCGGCATATCTACATAATTTTTCCGCTGTTCTCTGAACAATCACAAGGATCTATAGACCTTCTGATATTTCTATAAATATAGATAAATATATTCCAGTTGGTCTCAAGGACCACGCCATCACCATCTCCTCAGCGGCGAAGCACGTTATCTACGTATTCTTTGTATATCAAGAAATACCTGGTGTCGCTGGAGCCCCGCTGGCGATTCTCCACCAAACTCTACAGCTGTGGTAGAGGTGCCATATTCTTTGTACATAGAGTTATATATATATATATAATTTTCTTTTTTTTTAAATAGTACAGACTGTGCACTTAGCATATATTGACAAGATGTCGATAATATTATTTTAATTGTCTATAAATATAGACTCGTAAATTTATAAATTTAATTGCCATCTATCGATAAAATGTGTAACAATTATATTTACTGGGGCAATGTGTTTCTGTTAAATAATATTATCAAATCAAAAACAAATGCTACAGGTTTCTGGAGATGCGTTTCTTTATCTTTATTGAACGTAATATCAAGCTTTCAGGCATCTCTGCCCTTCTACAGGAGTACATAGAAACGTAGAGTACATATGTTTCTATGAAAATTCGAAAATATTTTAGACGCGTAAGATTCTTTTTGAAATTAAATAATTTCTACTGCTCTTACTGCTATGGAAAAATTAATGGGAGGGCCTGGTTTATCAGTGGTGAACCATTTCAGCGGTTTTGCCAGTTTAATCTAACATACCGCTGTTATATTGCATTTTTTTCGATCTTCTTTTTATAATGATACTGTTGCTAGACTCTTGGAATGGGTATTTTAGATGAACTATGGACATAAGCTTTGAGGACAGTAGAATTATATACAATTATAAATATATAATATGATTCGAGCAATCGCTCTTACGCAAACATCAAATTGAGTCTTTTATTAGAAAATTTATATTATTTATGCATTAGTGCGCCATCTGTTATGAAAATTCGAAACTATTTTAGAAGCGTAAGATTATTTAATTTCAAAAAGAATCATACGCGTCTAAAATAGTTTCGAATTTTCATAACAGATGGCGCACAATGCATCATAATATGTTTCTATGTTTCTATAGAAAGTGCCTAAGTGAGAATTCTCTTTTCACTATTTAAACATAATCACGTTTTATTATTGAAATCAAAGAACTTAAAGTACACTCTGTGTAACAGTGAATTCAGCCAGGACTTACACACGACATGATTTATTGTCTGGTACAGGAGGATGGGGGGGGGGGGGAGTAATTCTCTGACAGAATATTGGTTATAAAGACAATTCGTCATATGTTTTATTGGCAAAAGTAGTGATAAAGCAGGACCATTGCATTGAATTTTTGAAAATTCTGGAGAACAGCACAGTCTAAAAGGCATAACACAGAAGAGAGAACCAACTTGAGGAAAGAGTGATGTTATTCTCCACTTTCTGTAGATAATTTTTTTTGTCTCATTATTCCAGTGTATAATTAAACAAAGTCATCAACTTTACCACAGTTTTACCCACCATGGAGACTTATATATAAATTATTATTAACACATTATTTGTAAAATTTGTAAATAATAAAAATACAGAAAATAAAATTACAAAATATTTTTTAAAATAATACAAAATGAGATCCCCAATCATTTAAGCTTGTACTAAAGAATATTTCAAAGATTAAAATGGCTTTGTTTCTTTGAAATATAGGATCTGCCGTTTTGTCCAAGTTTATGCTATTATGATAGGGATTTTTTTGTAGTATTTCAGTACTGTAAGTATTATATATTTCAATCAATGGTATTTCGTATGTATCCATTGTCCTTCGCGACTTGTGTCTCCGTCAAATGCCCTCCAGAGAATTGCACATGACTTCAATCCAAAACTTGAAAATCCGCAGATAAGTGAGTGCCGATTCTAGAGCAAAATTATGACGTGTCTGATCCCACTCCAAAGGACAAGGCCGAGGCGAGAGTTGGACACTGCTAACTCTCCGAAACAAGTGACACACGGCGAAGTAAAAAAAAAAACGCGAAGCCAGGAAGAAAAAAAAGAGGCGAGAGAGAGAAAGGAAAACTTCTCCTTCTATTGGAACAATAGTTGAGACAGATCGCTCTTTCCCTCGTCGCTCTAATTGTGCCGCTCGATGTCTGTGGCGGACCTTTTGTCGGAGCTGCCAGCTTTCTTGGACTATCTTCTATCTCTGTGGTCGGTGGTTCTTGGACCATCTTCTATCCCTGTGGTCGAGGATTCTTGGACCATCTTCTATTCCTGTGGTCGGGGATTCTTGGACCATCTTCAATCCCTGTGGTCGGGGATTCTTGGACCATCTTAATCCCTGTGGTCGGGGGTTCTTGGACCATCTTCTATCCCTGTGGTCGGGGATTCTTGGACCATCTTCTATCCCTGTGGTCGGGGATTCTTGGACCATCTTCTATCCCTGTGGTCGGGGATTCTTGGACCATCTTCTATCCCTGTGGTCGGGGGTTCTTGGACCATCTTCTATCCCTGTGGTCGGGGGTTCTTGGACCATCTTCTATCCCTGTGGTCGGGAGGTCTTGGACCATCTTCTATCCCTGTGGTCGGGGATTCTTGGACCATCTTCTATCCCTGTGGTCGGGGGTTCTTGGACCATCTTCTATCCCTGTGGTCGGGGATTCTTGGACCATCTTCTATCCCTGTGGTCGGGGATTCTTGGACCATCTTCTATCCCTGTGGTCGGGGGTTCTTGGGCCATCTTCTATCCCTGTGGTCGAAGGTTCTTGGACCATCTTCTATCCCTGTGGTCGGGGATTCTTGGACCATCTTCTATCCCTGTGGTCGGGGGTTCTTGGACCATCTTCTATCCCTGTGGTCGAAGGTTCTTGGACCATCTTCTATCCCTGTGGTCGGGTGTTTTTGGACCATCTCATATCCCTGTGGTCGGGGGTTCTTGGACCATCTTCTATCCCTGTGGTCAGGAGTTCTTCTCTAGGTCTCTTCTATAGGTGGTGTTGGTGTCTTGTCGATGAAGAAGATCAGATCAGTCCATGCACCCTGATCACAATACCGGCTAACTGAGGTGCCGTATGGATGTCCTCTTCTGGATTGATGTCTGCCATATAGAGAGCTGCAAGGATGGCCTGACAAATCTATATATGGTCCGAAGTGTATAGGTGAAACCTGTCATTCATATTCTATGTTGGGATTATATTTAAATAGCTTTAACCTCTCTTCTTTACAAGACATAAAACCACGGTCTTCTATTACACTGAAGACAATGGCTGTTTATAATAATGTATCGGGGAGAAATTTGCTTCTTTCCTTCCTTGCATAGTTGTTCTTAATTCTTGTCTTAGTATATGCGATGAAGAATTGAATGTATATGTGAAATCTGTCATTGTAATTCTGTGTTGGGATAACATTTACAGTGTTAAACTTTTCCTCTTGTGAGACAAGACATAAAACACGGTCTCCTATTACACTATTCTTCTTCTTTCTTATCTCCACTCAATCATATTAGGGTGTCAAGCCTGTAGAGCTTGAGACTTGACAACCATCATGACTGAGTGAAGTAGAATGCGTCTGTCTTTGTCATTAAGACTGGGAGCACTACTCAGTGGCAGGCCGAATTAGCTCCAAAAGAATGGCCGCCTCTGACATGAGGAACAGACACCATGTGCAGCCGCTCCTAACATGGAGTACAAACGCTGTTCATCCTGTATCCCTGGATTAGGGTCCCTTACATGGTACTATCAACATGGCCAGCTGAGGCCAGGTTTTTAGCGAGCTTGTTACTGCTCCCCCTCCTCCTTTTTCATCCGGGCTTGGAACCGGCAAAGGCGCTTACACTGAGAACAATGGCCGGTTTGTAACAGAGTATCAGGAGAAAGCATGCTTCTTTTCTTCTTTCTGCGTTGTCCTTAATATTATTCTTAGTATATGTGCTGGGGAATTGAATGTATAGGAAAATATGACCGCAGTAAGCAGAAGTGGGCGACAACTCACCTCCTGTAGGTAGAGCTGATAAGCCGACATAATTAGCAGAAGCAGCCCTACTTATCACAGACTCAGATCTGGTCGAGATAGAGCATGTACTGCTCCAACTTTATTGATTTTTTATCTGTAAAATTTATAAATGATTTTTCTTGAACTTCTTTTATCTTTTCTCGAGTCTTTACCATTATTATTATCCCTGATAAGAATATTTATTTTTTAGAAAAAAAAAAACGAGAGCTTTAATTAGTTTTTTTTTTTAACCTTAGCTTTTTATTGGAGAATTTCTCTTCGTTAGAGTTTAGCCATGTATAAATGGGGAAACTACTTTATATGATGCACAAGCGCGCCATCTTTTATCAAAATTCGAAACTATTTTAAACGCATAAGATTATTTTTGATATTAAACAAATTCTACTGCCCTTACTGCAATGGAAAAATTAATGGGAGGACCTGACTCATCAGTGGTGAACCCTCCCAGCGGTTTCGCCAGTTTAATCTACCATACCGCTGTTATATTGCATTTTTCGATCTTCCTTTTATAGTGATACTGATGCTAGACTCTTGAAATTGGCATTTTAGATGAACTATGGACATAAGCTTTGAGGACAGTAGAATTATATGCAAATATAAATATATAATATGATTCGAGCAATCGTTCTTCCGCAAATATCAAATTGTGTCTTTTTTTTAGAACATTTATAATATGATGCACTAGCGCGCCATCTGTTATCAAAATTCGAAACTATTTTAAACGCATACGATTCTTTTTGATATTAAACAATTTAATACCTGGTATAGGTTTTTCCACTATACAGAAATTCAGGGTTCCAACATTATTTTAATCACAATATTGTGAATATTTGACTGGTGACTCGTATAACGCCTCTAGCTTACCCGAAGAGACCGTAGAGACATTATAGAGTATAGACAGTGGCTTGAAACTGTAACAAAGCTATACTTACAGAACGACATTTC